TGTCCAGAATCCGAAATATTTCAGAATTACATCCGTACCCATCTAGGTAGACAGTGCCAGATTTCAGATTGCATCATCAGTTTCAGCTCAATTCGCTGATAAAACGCGGATTCAACTACTGCTTTATTTTCGTTCGTTCCTTCTTCTTTTGCTTTTCCTGCATTGGTTCTCKTAGCCATCAGCTCGCGWTCTTAATTGTTCTTAGTGATTGCGCTAAGCTTGTCAAGCTTCTTCGGGATACTAACATCTCAACTTTCAGCTTCTTCTTTGCTTGCCTTGCAGATTTTGAACCCTTTAATCTCCAACACCTGGAAACATCTTGCACTTCATCTAATTTTAATCAGCAGGCAATAGCCGCGAAACCATTCCTCCTCTTCCTCACTCTATTGATAGATCAAATGGAGCTAGAGTTCTTGAGGAATGTCTACTCAATTCGATTTTCATCGTTCCATTCCTCGTTTGCCTATTACTTTCACTGCAGCCTTATTATTGTCAGTTAATCGGTCACCCGATCAAAAGCTCTAGTTAAATCAATAAAAATCATTTCTACACATACCAGTGTGACATGATTTAGAGCTACAAATCTGAGACTATTAAAAATCTCGTCAGCCTCAATTTATACCTATTCGGAATGATATCGAAACAATCTGGGCCTGAGAAATAATAGGTGAGCATTTTAGTTGACAAAACTGACCGATATCGATCTGCTGAAGAGTTTATTGTCCTTGGACGATTAACAGGGTCGCTGTTTTCCTAGGGTTTTTACTCTTTGAGAGTGTCGTTCCGACATTTTTTTAAAGGCCTGATAAGTTCCCAAGGGTTGATAGACCATTATTACGGTTAACTGCAGTTTACACTTGCGATTTATCTTTTCTGGAAATTTTAAATTAGATTACGGAATTTGCTAAAAAAATTGAACTTAGGTGGAAGCCAAAAACAGACCAAGTGCTTCTAAAGAGCTCTGATTGAATCAACAGATGGACCTGTTTTTAGTTAACACTCAGGGTGCATAGTTGCATATTTGCAGATATTTGAAACTAACAAATATACCAAGATTTCCGTATTGACTATACTACATACATATTAGGTTTGTTAAAAAAGATATCAGATAATCAAGGTGATGCCATTAAGTGGCGCCTCTCCTCCTTCATAACGAGCCATACAATATTAAACAATAAAATCCCATGTGTGGAAATAATAATGCCTGATAAACCCTTAATCCTTAAAGAGGTATCAGTTATTAATAGCCTGGCGTGTTTATCTATTATATGATATTTCCGTGACACAAATACATAGTTTTCGAATTTTTTTTAATCGGGATTATCAGGGATTTGCTGTTGTTTCGTTCACCCGGCTGGTAAAGAGGAGGGCGGATTCGAGGTGGCAGGCAAACGGTACCAGGATGTAAGAATATCGTCGCCTCAAGGCCCTGCCCTTTGCTTGTACTTTTACACTAGCCTTAAGAAGCTTAAACAATGACCCATTGTTAGAAATGTATCTCGAGGTATCACCTCCGAAAATGGGTCGAAATTATCATATTCATAATCCCGAACCATAATTTGTTGACAGGTTTTTTTTGTTTAATCATTCTGAGTATCAAGCGGGCACATGAATATGAATAATGGAATAAACAAGGGCCCTCTTTTTGAAAATCAATAAAATTGTGGTTGTACCGTTTAACTTTGGCATGAGAAAACACTTAAAGCTGCTAGAAGAAATCAAATTATTGATAAAAACTGGCGTCTCAGTTTGAGAATTTTGAATGAAAAATGGTGCTAAATATGGAATTATTTAAAAATATCTAGAGTGTCTAATTTGGAACAATAGACACTCAGTTTGCCGTTTTTGGTTTTCACTTAAAAATTATGGAACAAAATGAGCCGTTAACAAACTTTAAGCGGGAATTAACCTTAAAAATCTGGAAACTTACGAGCTTTTTGCAGTATGCGGACAATTAGAGGCTTCACTTTGATTTTTTAAAATGTTCTCCCTTTAGTGTTTTGCAGGAAAAAAGACAAACAAATGGTTTTTTTAGAGGAAAATAAAATGTTTCAGAGCTTTTAGATCAGACATTTTCGAGCTTTTACATAAAACTGCAAGCTACTTAGCTTTTGTATTAAGCTGAAACCTACTTTATTGCGGAAATAGTGGTAATCTTTTCATTTCATTTGAAAACTAAAGAAATAATTGAAGAGCTTTGACCGGCACTCATACTTTAAGCAAAATACCTTGAGAGCTTTTGCCAGTGGATGGAAAATTACATGTACCAATTTGATTGATTGCTAGAAATCAAACCGTTTCTTTTTTGGTCTGAAAATTAATAAATATTAATATAATAAATTTGAGAACCTCGGAAGGGACATAATAATACGTAAATCAAAGAAGATTTAGAGCTTTTCCGCAAATCTGAAAATTACTTGGCTACTGAAATGTTACTCATTTTATAGTTTCATTTCAAAACTAATGAAAAAATGGGCTTTTTGGCTTCAGAACCATGAGCGGAGACTAATAAGAACATGCAAGCTTTAGGAGCTTTAAACATTACGGTAGGTTGAAAATTACATTGAAAATGCGTTGATGATAGGTGGTTTATTCGGCGCAGCACCACTTTGAAGATGCAAAGCACTCGGGCTTGCGAAACGTCGGGACGAAATTCATTTCCACGACGGCCGAAAAGTCCGAAAAACTTACTAGTTCGTTGAAAATGAATTAGAGTTTCATATTTTGGGTGAGCTGATGGAAAATAGGCACGTTGTTTAGCTTGAAGCATAGAAAATAGTCTGTTAAACATAGAGCTTTTATGTAATGTTGAAATGCATCGTTTTGATTGATTGATGTTGGTTCTTTTGCAGAGAAAGTAAATCATGTAAGATTTGGAGCGATGAATATTGCTGAAAATTACATGTACGATTTTGATTGATTACCGACATTTTTGACCACGTTTTCATTTCGTCTGGAGAAGTAAATAATGCACTTGTTCTCTAGTAAAAGTGTCATTCACGTTTTGCTCTTGTTTGAGCGGTCAGTCACTCGGGCACAACTCCGCTCTTCGGTCGATTAGATATGGTAATACCTTTCGAAAAAAGGTCTCGTAGGGGCTTTGCCTTTGACCCGCTCGCTTTCAGCCGCTATTAAAACCATGGTTAATTTTTAAATACAGGTCTGCTGCAGCTCATCTTCCAACTTTTAATTTCGCTTTTCGTTTTCTTTTTCCGTTAAGTTTTTCGACGCGCTCTTTATGGATCTGTGGGAAAATGCTCATCATTTCAGTCCTATATTGTTTTGACAGGAGATGGTTTAAACCTGCTGATGGTGTAGGTACCAATCGGCATTTAGTCAATTCCCAGCCGTCGATTATTTGCATTTGAAACCCGTTAGGTACGACGGTAGTTTTGTGTATCTAACTATCTTGTTAGCAGGATCATCTGTCAAGTTTTAAACGAAAAATATGGTAATGTGAGCATTATTTTCTAATTTTTTTTACACTCCAAGGTGTTACTGGCTGTTTTTATTAGCTACTTCTGAGCTATGTTTCAGGTTTGTCTTCTGCCGACTTTGTTTGAAAATCCCCCGCTTTTTAGGTACACTTAAAAATGCCCAGTATATATATTCCAGCAATATAAACTTTATAACGGTGTATTATGATAGGTAAGTCTTCAACGACAAAACCCATTCAATTTTGTTATTCATACATATATTACGACACTACCGAAGAATACATATATTTTTGTGATTAAAATGTTTCTTGTCGCTTTTACTTGCAAATGTCATGATTTCTAGCATAGTTCTGAGGCTTTATAACATTTTTCTTCATGTACTCTCGTGTGATGTAGATTACATTGGATTTTTAATCAGTGTCTAAGAAGCATTATATTTTGCCATGAAAGATTGAGTAATGGTGTACTATTCTGGTTCTGTTGAGGTATTTTTACAGAAGATGAATTGAAATACTTCAATTTCACCTAATACGTTCAGTTCATTACTACATTTTCTAAGTCTCAGGTGCCTCTGTATCCTATAAGCAGCTCCTTCAGAAGTTTTCTCCCATTTTTCGACACATTTTATGCCTATTTCTATAAATAAATCTGAAACGTACTAAAGCCAGAAACAGCAATCACCTTCTTCGAAACTTAGAGGCAACATAAAAAATCTATAAATTCCCAAATCAACTTTATCGATTCGAAAAATCTGACACCATATTTAGAGGCGATCTTTACAATCAACACAATCCGCCATGTAATAATAAACTTTAAATAAGAATTCACACCTACTTACGACATTTTCATATACAGTTTCGAAATTAGAGCTGCGCCTAACAGAGAATGAGCCAGTAACGGCTGCCCTGTCTACTGTATGGTAGTTGAATTTAAAAGCATTTACATTGGCGTCCATCTCTGCATACCAAAACCAACAACAAAATCTTTGGAAAAAAACCATGTAAGCCCATATGTCAGCTATAAGAATTGTTGAGTGTACCTGAAGCCTACGCGGCCATATAAAGCTGGTATTTACATGGAAAAATACACTTTTGGTAAGTGGAAATTCGAGAGGTGCAACGGGCATGAATGGAGTGTGAATGAATGTGTCAGTAATAGCGAGAAAGTGAAAATACAGCTATTTCCTTCCATTGAAGACGTCTTTTTGTTTATTGTGTTGTTCACGCACAAGTGTAGAAACGTCTTGTGAGCAAGCAGCTGACTACGACATCAATAAACGTTTAATTGCAATAAGAGCTAATGGAGAAATAATGTCTGTTCTCATTCAAAAATTCAAGTTCACAAGTGTTTGTGGCCACGCAATGCAATTTAAAAATCAGTCAATTTCTTTGAGAGGTCTTAAATCAAGAATATTACCAGAGGCTCGGGAATTTGATGAATCTCAAATGGTAGAGGGAATGGGAAATAAATAACAATATTGGGAACTTTAGAACTGGAACTTATCAAAAAGTACGAGTATCAAATCGAGAAACTGCTGAAAGGAAGTGTAAATGTAAAGGCAAAGACGTTTACGCTTTTTGGCGGTTTATTCAAAAAGTGATACAGAATTATCGGCAATAAATAAACAATATCATGTCCCCTGTAAGGGAATTAAATTAAAAAATATTCTAACTAAATCAGATTCACAATGTTTCATGTGTCGGTTAACTGAGTTCGCTTTTTGAACCGCAGTTGATAGACTAATGTCTAAAACGCGTCCCGCCTATTCTTCGGCTGTATCTACTTTCTGTAGGCACTTCATCATATGACGCGTCTTCAAGAGGCGAAACATAGCTGACTCTTCTCCTAGGAGCCGGGCTAGATGGAATAAAGGGAAGGACTAATCTTAGCTCATTTAGATAAGGAACTCGTTCCATATCGTGTCCCCGTGCTTCATTGAAATCTAGAAAATACTCATTTCTGTCGAATAATAACACCCAAAATATTTTAGTTCACTCACAGGCAATTGCATCGTCAGGTCTCATTTTCAAACGATCTACCATCCATCGACAGACGAAGTAACCAGTTCTGTTCAGACCATGGGTACAGTGCACCCCAACCAAAGCATCTGAAACCAAAATTACGCAAAGTGTATAGAGAAAAAATGTCTAATTCAAATAGAGAATTATTTGTTCGATAACAATGGAATTTTCAAGAAAAGCATTGCTTGGTTGGTTCCTTTAGATTGAAGTAAAGAATGTCTTAATGCTATATAAACGAAACTTAGAACTCGATACTCGATAAAACCAGGTTCACTAATAATTATCGATAAGTGCGTGTCCAGTCCTCCCACACGAAAATTCTTCAAAAGTTATGAAGAATGAATCTTCAGCGGACCGTAATAGATTTTCGATCTTCACAATTATTATTTACTGTCCGCTTAATCAATTTCCAATGGGAAACAGGTTCATGTTACCTGTTTCATCGCCGCTTAGATGCGTGCCCATTTAGATTTTTTTCCACTAATAATTGAATTCCTTTCGATTAGTTCGTGATCTGATGTCAAATCAAATGCAGAAGCATCGAATTTACTTTGCGTTTTTTATTTTATTGATAGAGTTTTTCCTAATCGTTTTCAAGCTTCTTTGCCATTTTTTTATTGCAGTTATTAGGAATGTCTTAAAATAATCGAATAGTTTAACGAGAAAATTTAACTATTTCCGCAAGAAAAACGGAAAAATCTTGTTTAGCTCGTTCAAAAGCAAAAACCAGCACAACAATCGAAGTGTATAAAATATTTTCCTCAGGCCGTTCGTGGAAATCAATTTCTTTGAGGTGCTTTGCTGGGCACAGCAACCATCTGTGAAGATGGAAGTCACTCGTGCTTGCGAAACGTCAGGAAGACATTCTTTTTCACGGCTCCCTAAATGCCCAAAAAACTGAAATTTGGTGATTGTGTTTTGATGAAAAGTGCAGAAATTGGATTTTTCTCTATAAAATACCAATTCAGTTTTCACGACAACATGACATTTAATTCATTTGAAGATGAGATTAAGGAAAATAAATCACTTTCCTTAATAATTTCGCGCAATTGTGGAAGTGTGTTATTTTCGCGGTAGTAAACCTGCTCTCAACAAATGAGGAACTCAGAGAAGCGAAGGTGATGAAAATATGGTCAAAATAAACCGTTAATTATCCTCACAATCTCTCTTGGACATTTTGGGTGCCCGAAAATAAGTCACACAAAAAGAAAATGTATTGGTCATTTGAAATGATAATTCGGAAAAACTGGCAACACTCGCAAGGAAATCCAATCAATAATTTCAAAATTCTTGCACAAATCAGCAAAATCTAACAATCTATGAGAGACATACGCTAATAACATCAAATTTCCATCCCGCTCGGTGGACGTAATAGAAAAAGAACGAAAATTATTGCGTCGCTACCAAAAGGCTTGGTCAGTCCAGGTATACTTTTGTCTGAACGTTTTAGATAGTTTAATGTTAAAGTTAAATGTACATTGAACACCCTGTATGCAGTGTTAGCTTATTAATAATCGGTAACTGTCAGTTCGTTCACCGATCGGTCTTAATTCACTTCTACTCGATCGAATGACACTTAAATTTATCCGACTATAAATTATAGGCGAACTACATTTTCCATTTGAAAAATCGCGCTTTATCTGAAATCAAACTTTAGGCGCCATAACAAATTTATATATCAGAGACTTCACATCGAACAATAATTTATGGAACTAACCTAGTTTTGGGATTTAATATTTGCAAAGTTTATTGTTCCCTATAGCAGGGCTGGACTGTGTAATTTACTTGTATAACTGGCCGGAAATTAGTTGATTGGTTGGTTAACAGAACAACCCGCGCTCTTTGCGGAGAAAATTTTTATATTTTTATCCATCAGTCTGTTAATCGATGCCTAATTCAGAAGATACTGTTCGGCTAGTATTAGTTTGTTTTAACATTGGCAACAGAAGTGAGTGCAAGAAATCAATTAAATATTAGCAGGGAGGTTGAAAGTTAATGAAAAGTTTTGCAATTTAATGGAAATCCAAAAATATGCCCCTGCTTTCCAACAGACGTAAAATGCAGTAAATTCTGCCGGTAGTGTGGAAGAAATCGAGGTGGTAAACACCGTCGACATCAATTGATAAGTTTGATCGAAGTATAAACATTTATTTTGTACGAGAGACGAGGGAAATGATGATGTATGCTCTTCGTAGGTACTTTAATCTAGATTACGTGCGTTTCTCGATAGTTTTCGAGAGGCCAGGGGTGGAATAAAGAGTCGCATTTTCCGTTTATATTCAACTGAAGAAGATGTTTTTCGGCATGCGCTTAATACCCCGGTAGCATCGCTATTTGGAGTGCGTGCTTTTTCAAATAGAGCCGGAAAATATTTGATTTATTCATTCACTTAGGTCGAAAATATGTATTTAGTTGCACAAAACAAAATTAAATTTCTGAAGTTCATGCAATTTTTTCGAAAGTCAATTGACACATTTTAGTGCGTTCCTGATGAGTTCTTTCCAAGCACGACAGCAACAAAAATAATCGGCAACTATCTGAAACTTGGACAGAACTCCAGCTCATCCATCTTGTTAGACACACCTATATCTATAATACCATCCCATAAGATTTCGGCTATGTAAACTCAAGTTGCATCTCCCATATTTTCTCGAGAAAATGACTTTGGGAAGCCATAAACCATGCCAAATGCCGTGATTTTTCGGCTTTCGGACATTGAATTTTGTAATAGAGACTGGAAGATACGTAGGCTATCGACACAAAGGTGTCGAAAATAGAAAAACATAACTTTCGATAGTAGCCGCCAATACGGGCTTATCGAGCTATTTTTTTGTTAAAACGGTGATTATTTACGGGCAAATTTACATAATTATGTTGTTGGTTTGCCTTTTTATTACTTAATCTTCAAATAAAATGGACGCGATAATACAATGTACAAGATGAACGGCTGCTTGGGGCAAATGCTTGAAACGTGTGAGGTAACTAGTTGGTCTAAAAAATTATTTTAATGCAATTTTTTATTTCGGGTTTGAGAAGTGTCATTGACTTTCTCTTTTTCTTCTCAAAAAATCGTAGATATGTATAATAGTGCAACATATGAAATAGCAGTTTGGTCGCAATCTTCCATTTGGTATAACGTGAATAACCCTGTATACAAATAAAACATCTAATATATGAGATAATGGATTTTTTCTGGGATGAGGACAATTCTATATAATTTGTTTTTCAATTCAATTCCCATGATAAAATGAAGATTTATAGATGTTGAGCTGCACGTAATCTAAATGAGGCCTCTTAGTAACTGGTTGTTCTCGATTACTATTCCTGTTGGTATCTTTCACCGACATTTTTGGGAGATGTTTTCAACGAATAAAAAGATAATAAAAAGCAGGAAAGTAATGCGATTCAATTGTCACCCGCCATTCGTTGGAAGCTAAAATTTAAATAAATTAAACTGTGAAAGAATGCACTTTAAAACGTATGTATAGCGAACTGAAAATTCTCATTAAGACTCAAGCAATCAAAAAGCCTAGCAATAATTTTGGCAAATTGACCAAATACTTACTAAATAATGTCCCCCGTCCAGTAAAAACTAACGTCATGTTCCTGTGCTATACGAAGTAATAAACAAACAGTGTTCTCCGAATTCACTTAACAGATCTTGAAATATTGAACTTGATCTTATCATGCCTTTATTTCTCATTACAGCTCAGTGGGGTACATGCAGCTTTTATGAAAAGGATACCAGTCGCCATGAGAATGGTAAGTTTTCTTCAGAATTCTCCTTCAATTTATGCAGCGACAAAATATTTAATCGATGTGTAGGATTGATATTGAGTGACAATAATTAGGGAATTTATCCGAGGAAAGCGAATCCCAAATCTGAATATCTGGTGATTTAACTCGAGAAAATCCTCCCAACTCCTTAAAAAGCAACTTTACAACATTTAACCACATTTACAATCGTCGAATTTCTGCTTATCAGTTATTGACACGTCCGAACGTGTTTTCATAAACAGTTACGTCGTCACGGAAAAACGTAAAAGCCAATTTACATTCAAGTGCCTCATTTTTACGACTTTTTATTATTCTTCGCGGCACAACAATCAATTTTTTAATATTAAACTTCTCGAATGAAACATCCTTGGAATGCACCGAATTTAATACTGACAAATTATCGGTTAGGAGCTGGCCATTTTTTACGGTTTTAAATGACAGTTTTTGGCTCCATTGCTGCTTATAACACGGTTTTAAATCAAGCAGATATGGTTTCGTTTTGAAGTAATCTTTGCACGCGACCAAAATTCTCCAAATACCGACTAGAATTTAAAATATTTTCTGGTGCGCGTCTAAGTAATTGAAGTTAGAAGAAATAAATCGACGGCCAACAATGACCCAGAACCAACTCGAACTGTGCATAGCCACAGTATAGCGATTGGTTGCGATGACAAGTGAACCTCCCATATCGTTCCGTACTTTTACTTCAACAAATAATCGGTCGATTTCTCGATATCAAAAGCACTCGACGGGGTGTCCACTTCATGTCAGTAACTACTACATTTATTACCGTTCATACGCCGTTTCTAGCTGGAGACCGCCTTACTGCCCAGATCACGATCCATCTGACGAAGCGCCGCGTCATTTACAATAAATCCTACTGTCAATTTAAATTGAATAAATTTAATGCAATCGCTTATAATGTTTATGTTTTGGTTGCGCAATATTGACTGAAAGGATAGTTTTGTATTGTATTGTGCTTATTGGTCCTGACGGCAAAGCACTCGCTCGATATGCTTCTGTTTGGTCTTTGAAGAGTCATTACCAAAAACAACGTGTACTTTATAGTAAAATTAATGAAAACTTTTTAATGTGAAAAAACGGACGACAATCGTCAAATGTACAAACGAAATGGGAGCGAAATGGTGCACAGTTTCCAGTTCCTGGATAAATAGAAAAATTCAAATTCAAACTTGATGAGAATGCTCGCCCCCGAAACCATTCCAAGAAAACATAAATTACGTAATTTTTCACAATAAAATATGTCTTGTTGTAACCGTAGAATCTGCAGCTTCGTCTGGTAAAGTTCTTCAGGGGATCAGGAAAAACCTTTCTACTCTAGGCACATCGCATTTTGAATTGGTCTTGATCTGGCAAAAAGTGTCTTATTTAGAAAAGAAAACTGCACAACCCGATACCAAAATCTGAGTTAAATGTCGCGCTTAATCGATAGTCTGCATAAAAAACGCATGGTGCTAAGTTAGGAGATAATGGAAGCATAATGTGAATTGGTCTCATCTATTTTACCTCACCTCAAAAGTGAAGAATTTTCAATCAGTCGCTTTTCGACTATTCCTGAAGAGGAATACGGCTGAAAAGACTTGAAGCCGTAGAAAGCTTAATGCTAACTGCAGCAGTAGAAACGCCCAGGTTCTTGAAAAGTTAAGATAAATCGGAGATCTACCGAAACCTGCAGTGGGAAACAATCAGGGAATCCACGCAAGAGAAAAACAATATATGGAACCTCTCGAAATAACTCAAAAATAGAATATAAAACGAGCCAGCCAAAGACAACTAAAAGGACAAACTTATGAAGGAACGACAAAGAAAGAACCAAAAAGACGGCCAATATATTGGGTACAGCGTTTTTATCTAAAAGGCCATAGAAGATCCAAGAATGTCCACCTCTGCCAAAAAAAAAACAGTTTTAATTCAGTATTTCCAATATCTGGTTGTGAGAACAAAAGAGGTCATTTTCCTGAAATCCCTCTTAGTTCGTGCCTTCAAAACTTTCATGAGGCCAACAACTGACTTCCACCAACAAAGGAGAAATTTTAATTCTCTGTCTTCTGTACCTACCATCCAAAAACATTAAGTGATTTTCAGCAAATCCTTAATAATAATTACCATATTCTTTATTGTGAATCAGTTGTGTTTATTAATATTTGCATTTTGGTCTTTGATACTTCAACCTGTACGCACTTTCTTAAATAATTTAATTCACATGCATTAAAAGTGCCCTTCAAATAGATAAATCAAATCAATTAAACTAAATAACAAATGTAATCGAATTAATTGATTCTTGTTTATATGCGAAGTATTTGGCGTCAAATCGCTTTAATTCGCACTAGTCGCAGAAAAAAAAGCTCAAAACCGTTTGGTTCTAAAAAGAAATTCCAATTCACTTATTGAAAAAAAATTGTCTCCAAAACTAAGGGAGCTATGAGCAAAAAACATATTATAAATAGACAATCACTCAGTGAGCTACACAAGATCCATAATCATTCGCAACTGTTAATACAATATCAAATTTATGCGAACAACGTATCAATTCCACTTCAAGGCGAACCATTTTGTTGTCGCTGGTATGAACACGAGAAAACATGTAAGGTTAACCCACATTTTTTTTCATAAAAAGGAATATATAATAAACATAACAAACACAGGAGTTCATTTTAATAACGACATTTCTAATCAATTGGGGATTCAAGGTTTGAGCGTGGAAAAATGTCTTACCAGTACTGTCGCCATATTTTTCCATATGCTGATCCATGACGTCGAAAAACCTGAAAAATAATTAAATAAATTAAAAATAATTATTAAGAAAAAGAGTCTATGAAGCTGGTTTAGAAACTTTTAAGAATACGAAGTAGAAAACGGAGGCTACAATGTCAACCCGTCCTATTCCTTTTTTAGTTACAGTTTTTTGCACAATTTGGCCTTTTCAAGATGATAAAATGAGGAAAAAGTACACTTAAGAGCCATTAGTTCATTAATCACTTACAATTACTCGAATCCGATTTGATAGTTAACTATCCAAGAAGTTGCGGAAAATGCGGAATGTTAATTTCATTTGTAGTTAATTACTCGGTATATATTTTTCACGTATCTCCGCTATACATGCAACTAATAAAAATTCAGCCAATTAAAACATGAACAAGATGGAGATTTGTGCATTCCGCTGCGAGAAGCTGAAGCTCGATATCACTAAGCGTCCGTGGCTTATTAATCACAGATAATTTCTCAAATGACTCGGTGAAATTTGAAACAGTCCTGAGAGAGATATAAAATATAGCCCCATAAGCCGACCGGCCGACATCTCTATTAGGCGGACATATTAGATATAAATTGGATCATCGGATGCGGCTCTTTTAACTTCCTTTCAACTCCTACGTCCTAGTGGCTCATTAACTTCCAACGGTCACGCCTGTTGAGGCCGTCTAAAAGGTCACGTGCCAAAATGTTACTATCAGACTCTTATTATTTCTTCAAGTAGATGGGATTTTTTATTCAATTTGAGACGTTTTTGTTTGCCGTCTTCTACTATCGGAGCTAAATCTTCATTCTACAGCAATAGAATTGAATCGAAGCGTTATTTTGTTCGTATCAGAAATAAAAGCACCGTTTATGTCTAATATTTTTCCTTAGCCTCTCGAGTAAGAATGTTCATTCGAAAACAACAAGATGATTCACAAGACATAATCGTATAACCTGCGTGCACCACGGTGCAATGCCCTAAAACTCCAGCAAGTTAAAGTTTCCGAAAAGTAGTAAACAAAGCCGCAAATCAAACTGCTAACGTGCATCTGAGAAGGAAGACTTTATTTTTCGGTTGCTCAATATTTCCAACTTTTCTCCGTGTTTCAACGTTTAGTTTTCCCGTGAAGTAAGTTTCGGAACGTCTCTACATGCATAAGTTTTAAGTGGACGCAAACGGACCTAAGTTATAGCAGTAGTTGCACAAAAATGTCCAGAGTTACGTAATAAATAGATATTGAAAGAAACTAATTAATTGCAAACCTAAACCAAATTTGTTGATCCCTTTTAATAATTCGGGTTGATTTATATCTGATGTGCCGCAGATCCTGAGTGAAAATTTGCCAAGAATTAGTTTTGACAAAAAAACTGACTCCAAATAATAGTTCAAACAAAATATTGATGCAATACAAAAGCATCTGAAAATATATGCAGAGCTTTCAAAGAATCACAGAGCAAACAAAATTGTTGCCAATATTAAATGACAAAATTCCTAGAGCACAAGTAGTAACCCCCTTCACCCAAAGCATTCAAAGCCGCTGGAAAATTACGGCGAAATAAAAATATAAACTTTAGGGCACCAATCAAGCACATTTATGGATTTCTGATTTCAAATACCTTTTAATCATTGGCCAGATCAAGGAATAACACACACCAAAGGTCAAATTTAAAAGCCAATAAATCCAGGTAAATAAACAAAGCCAATCACAAAGGAGCTAGCAATAAAAATCATTTGTTGTTAACGAAAAGAATTTATTCTAATCCATCAAAGCGGTACTAACGCACTGAAAAGGCCCATAAAAATGCCATAAAATGTAAATCCATCCTTCACAATAATGTAATCAAACATGAAATATTAATAATAATAAATTATAGGAAGCGGTTTAGTTAAACAAATTGAAACCACTCCTTGAATTTCAAATACACAGTGATGGTGTTTGAGATTGATGATTCTTGTTAATTGTTTTCGGAGGGATTTAGTCACAAGTTTGTAATGAGTATTCTCCATAAGGTAAGTGCTCGAAACAAAGTCTTTATTTATTGATTCTGGCTGCAACTTTTCGGATGGTCGAGGCTGAATTTATCAGTAACAGGGAGTATGGTTTGCCACATTCGAATTTTCGCTAAAAGCTATTTTAAAAAAATCTTCAATCAAAGAAGCAAATGGGTAGAACATCAGACATTCAAACGTAAAGTTCTCTATTTGCTAATGGAAATAATTTTCACTTCGTACCTAACTTTATTTCACATCAGATTTGCTGCTTGTATCGCAGCTTGATGCTAAGGGAGAGTTTTCTAGTGAACAAGTTTATAATGATGACTATGTTTTGCAGGCTATTGTTTGATACGGAATTTATTAAAAAGTTTTGGTTTTTCTTGACTAAGTGTGTTACTTATGACTTTAGTTGCGGTCACTTTCCTTTTTTGGGAAATTTTAATTTCATGTTCTCAGAGGAGTCGGTGTGCTTGCAATAAACAAACCACCCTGGAATATTCGCTTTTTTCCTTCAAAACATTTAAAAATGTTAATTTGTCCAAATTAAGTGATTCTTTAAGCTTAAAAGTCGATGACTGTCTAAACAGGTGTGGTTAATAATTTTGGATTATTTTGTTCAACAGTTTCTCATTGTCTTAATCCTTCCCATGCAAAAAATGCGTACTCAAAATATTCCAAATTTTTCAAAATATTCGACTGCAGATCTTTTGCTTGCAAATAAAGTAATTTGGTAATAAAGAGCGAGTTTAATACAAACATGTCTTTGTCTGCAGGAAGACTTCCTATGAGCAGGAGATATTAAGCTTTAAATTCCAAATTAAAATTCTGGGTTCTTCAGTCATTTATTGTCTATTTATCAATAA